CTCCTCCCATCCTAACACTGGAACTCAGTCAGTTAGTCAGCTACAACATAGGACCAGGCACATATATGCATCAGTCCAAGTTGTCATACCCCATCAGCACAACAAGATGAACATTAAATTCATAGTAGTTATTCCAATGGTAGTAATATATAAAGAAAGAATGCATATAATGATATAGTACAGGAGAAAGAATTAGTTCGTAGAAAGATATAAAGGAATTTTAATTCCACAATATAAGGAAAGACAGTGTATACACCAACGCCATTGTGACAGATTCTGAGCCATGTCACCCAGTCTCCAATCATTGGTAACGATTGTGGCACAGACCCCAGCAATGTAGTCTGCATCTACCAACATGGCTCAGACCAGAAGTTAGTGACTTCAACGACTGATGCCACGTTCTGGTTTTGCCACTTCTAACTTCCTTCTAACCATCTCTTACACTAGACAGTATCGCGCGTCGTAGTAGTCGGTGTTCAGGCATGCGCACTAAGTGGCCCAATCATCAGTCGGTGAAGATTTACAACATTATCATTCCATAATAGCCTGCATCTAACCTCACTACTTACCTAGTGGTCCCTGCAGATGCGAGCAATATTTATAAGATATGTGTCATTAAAGTACTAGTAACTTACGAGTATCTTCTACCCTTAATGGCTGTTTCCCAGTAGTAAACTAGAACAGAACGAACTTCCGCGCAGTATACTTGTCTTTTATTGATAGAGGGATACATCGTCTTTGCTTCATTTTGCATCAGACAAAAGATTAAATGCACTGCAATTTATACAATGGCTTTTTATTAATAAATAAAAAGCCTCTTGATAGTCATGTAAAACCAACAGTAAAACGTTTGTGACACTGGCGGAAAACGTTGCCAAAAACACACAGCAAGCTACTCACAGATTGCACCGAAGGAAGGACCTCAATAAGTCTTAGAAACACAGTTGGACTAAGTGACTGTTGGAGCACCTGTAGTAACTGATTGGGTTGACCACAAACAGCAACGGCAATAGCAAAATGGTTGACACCCTCATCTAAAGAGCCCATGCTCAGGGCAGTTTCTCCTTGTTGTATTTGTTGAAGAAAAAATCTCTGCATCCCAGTCTGATCATTTATAGGTGGCAATGGGAAAGTGGATGACTTTTGAGCTTCAAGAGCCTTTTGTTCCATCCTCTCTATTCCAATATTATTCACCAAAATTAACCCACTTTTTCTGAGATTTTTCCAAAAATCAGGGTGACTTCGTCTTTTTCTGTCAAAATAAAAACAATACCCTGCAAAAATAATGCCAGCCCCCGCGGCAACACAGACAAAAACCCCACGGACCATCTCACTTGTACTACGAGCCGTAACGCAAATACATGTTCAGGCGCTAATACTTTCAATAAACAATAATCAAAGGTTTCGTTATGAGGTTGTGGAGATTGTTCAATTTCATAGAAACTACGAACCTACCAACGCTAGAACACTATAAATTCAGGTAAAACAACGGCAACTCCGAATATCAACCTAACGGTTCAGAGGTTAAGAGTCTGACAGCAGTTGTTGATTTCGAGTCCAGTGCCCAGGGTCGTTACAGGCACAACTGAGTCCTATACTGATAAAAAACAAATGTTCAGTACTTTGATGTTTTAAGTTCAATTCAGATTGCTTCATTATATCCATGCAAGTCAAATAGTTTTGGATGAATTGTATGGAGATTCGTATTATCGAGCCTCCGAATATGGTGGCATGAGAGCATCAGTGGCTTCAATTTTACCGAGGTATGTTCAACGTTCAACCTTCGCCTTCTGATTTACTTGGCACGCGTTTCTTGGTAGCGGTGTTCATAGTCAATCTCAACTCAACACCACGCTACAAACGTACAACATTTCGGACAACCTGGTCCTACACTTTCGTGTAAAGGCAGTTAAACGAAGACTAAAACATCAAATAAATTGAAACATAAGGAAAAACAAAAATGATATTTAACCCTGTGAATCACATACATCTAAACTAAAAAGCAGTATTTTTCAGACGGTTTCAAGGTGACATAAAACTTATCTATCACGCACGTCGAGAGCTTAAATATTTTCATGCTTAAGGCTTAAATGAACTTTAGTGTTTATCGCCTAGCACTTTTGTATAGCACGGTAAATTTGACTAGGATTCTTCTTACTGTAGCGGTAAATAAATCCTTAAGATAAATAGCTCTGTAAGTTTTCGACATTGGATGCTGACCAGATTAGTTTTAGTGGACTCACCTAGCTGAAGGCGCCCGGTCATGCATCCGCACCAGATCACGTGTGGTAACGCTGTGCTCAACATATACCGCAATCGCTGGCCAGATTAGATCAGATAATTCCGATATATTGGTTATCGCCAAATATACTCTTCCGATCTCCTCGACTCTGCCTTTTGATTTCTCTTGGTGGGTACGAGTTATATTAGAGGGTGTTACTGGTAAAATCGTTGCCAAACACTGAATACCTGTGCCATCTTCATTACAAATGAATGTGTGTTTGAGATGGTGTGTGTTTGCACATTCATGTAAAGTGGTAAATGTAATCATTTATTAATGGTGTATTCAGGTGTATAAAAGTTCAGCTGATCGCTAGTTTAAACTCTTGTTTTCACACAAGTATATTCCATCGATCATTCGAGAGTGTGGAGATTTTGGCACGATCACAGGTTTTGAGAGGAAGAATAATATCGACATATCATGGTCCTTCTTTCGATTTAGAAATTTTTAGGGAAAAGTGGATATTATTTGATAGTTCGAGTATATGCTTCGCTTCAATATTATCTCTCGTGCAACGAAGAACAATCCTATCGGACAACATTCCCATTGAAGCTAGCAGTAACTATAAAGACTGGAACTTCCCCGACGATGTAGATATTCTACAGACAGAACACATTAACAAAATTAACATTTAGTATACTAACTATAATACCTAGGTGGAGCTGATCGTTCTTTTCGTGTTAATATTAGTGTACCTCATAACTTCATCACGGAAAGTTGGTATCTTCACCTATGGCTCATATGACTATGGTTCCATCTACATACCACATATCAATCAACGATGTCTGTAACAGAGGTTCGTTTAGGTTGCACATCCTGGATAATGACTATTTCACACTATTTGCAGTTGAAATCCAGTCCGTTATTGTTCACCTACGTTTGAAGTCGAACAATGTCCTCCAGATATATAAGCCTATTAATGTATTACCAAACTTCTGTCTAACGATTTACATTATTAGAAAAGCAATATCTCAGAAAATACTTGGTATGAAAGGTTATATTTATACAATGAGTAAAGCAAAACTCCTAATAATGAACCACGTGGACCACAATGGAACATCTGTATCTACCTATAATGAAAAACACAAAATAGTCATCACTTTGAAGAAAAGCAAGTCAATCAGTCAACGATGAGTAGATATATATTCGCTCTAAAGTTGGATAAGACAAGCATGATTAATAAGGTCATGTTTCCAGAAACTGATGTATATGAAATCATTCGATGCTCTAAGGGACTCGTCTATTCGTCAGCTTGATCGAAGTATTCATTATCCTGGAGTAACCGTCTCCCAAACGTGCTTATGTGTTTCAAATCGATAATGACATGTGCCATTATGGGCAAGAGATTCCTTAACTTTGAAGGTTACTGAAATAAGACTTACGGGTTAGCAGTTTGAGGGACCCTTACATCAACCCCCTATGGGCATAGATCTCCATACATGGTCTACGAAGTCGCGCTTCGTGATGTCCAAAAGTAGAAGTTTGGTGAAATTTCATCGAGGTCTAAAAAGATTCTAGCTAAACAGGTGTTCTTATTCGTCAAGAGGGATGAAGATGTGATACAAATGAATAATACCAAACCAGATTTTATAGGTCTTGTTCTGACTGGCGACCTCATCACGTGATAATTAACCGGGTGAGTCACAGTACAAACTTTGTATTCTATGACGTGTAGTGATTTGTGAACAAAATGCGACAAAAATTGCAATACATAATGTAAGCTAAATGGTAAATTCAAGAATAGAAATGGATTTCACAAAGTAGACAAAATTGTCGTTGAATAAATAAATGCTGATAGAAATCAGATAAATTTGCATGAATCTGAAATGAGTTAACTAAGTACCTCAGAAATTAGTATGTCTGGAACCCAACAAGTCACAACTAAGAACTAGATTTAGAAATACACAGTCTGAGGTAGTTTTGCATTGTCTTAACAGATTTAAACACAACACAAAATACATAATTGTACAGTAAATCCAATAATCATCTGGAGTATTTGAATTATAGTATAAACTAGGTATCCTGGAAATAACGCAATCGGACCAAGAAGTACTAGATAAGCACAAATTAATGTACTGTACTTCGAATTCGAAATCAAGTATTCAAGAAGTACAAAGAAGTCATTAGTTCATTCGAACACCACATATTCACCATAGTTTGGAACTCCTGCATAAAATATATACCCCTGACTATACTACAGCCATTATTAATTGACAGATTGTATACATTACGTAGATAGTATGGCTTCTGACTCTTCAGTTATCTCTAACCTTCGTGTGTGGAACGGTACTTTGATTTATGCAAAAACGTACGTGTATATCGAAGATGAAATATAATCAGCCCGATTTTGGATCTACGATTACATTCAATTCATAGTGAGTGTAACACGGCTGCCAGCAGCACTATCACCACACGAAAGACCGAATATAAATTCAAGTATCGAAAAAATCGAAAGTCATTATTACAGAGCGTTAAGTGTACTATAGTGTGAGCAAGAAAGTAGTTCTTACTACTCGAAAGGATTGTCAGGTTAGGTTACAGATTAGTCGGTTAGTTAAGCGGTATGAAAAACTGCATAACTTTTCTGTCACTGAGATAACACAGGAAGCTTAAAAGACTTGCTAGTAGTAGATAATAATTTGTATAGTCATTCATACAATAACTCATAGAAAAATAGTGGAGTTTATAAATTTTCCATGTCTTTCCCCAAAAAGTAGTCATAAAGTCAATATAGCCCTTTAGTTTATACGTTAGTTCATGTTTCCACTACTAATTCTGAATGCTGTCAGAAAAATCTATTTGTCTCTCTGCTTATCATTTAGATAGAACTGTACAAAATAAGAGTTCCTATTATTCAATTTCGGTAATATATCGATCTCGTAAAAATTAAAACGATAGGTTTAATATACAGCTAGAATTGAGCTACATGCAAAAGATGACCTCACTAACCTGCAATTGGTCCTGAAAAAAACAATTGGTCAAAAAGAGTACACCTAATTAAAATCGATATATTTAATAACATTCATGTGAAAGAGATCGTTTCGAAAGGTTACAAATTTCTAAAAGACAAACGAATGTTCTTCTTTCACATTTTTTATTCTTCTTAATTATCCTCTTCAACTAGTCCTAATGATCTTAAGAAAGTATGTTCTTCTGATAAATACTTTTCATATTCGAACTAGAATATTCACAAAAAAGAATGAGTTATAAATATATGTACGATAAACTAATCAAATACAAAACATTTTAAAATCATATGCGATTATATCTGAAACTTGGTTATCTTATTGTCGTCACTGACTGAACATAATATTGGCTGTTTGGTTTATACCGCACTATAGATCGAAGTAATTAGATCCTTAACAATCCTATAAGGTTAAGGTAAAATGAGGTTCTGATAAATTTTAACTGTAATTAATATAGTCTCTAATAATTCGACAAATAATAAGATTAATTGAGTTTTTATATATTGTCTTGAGTTAAAGATCAATTTCCTATTGGACTGATTTGAGAAGCAGTTAACAAAGTAGGTGTTAAACACTGGTTTCTTTCTAGTACGAGACTTGCAAACATTAAGAGCTCATGATCCCAATACAGATGGGACTCAAGACCTTTAGAACTTCCAACGATAACGCGATATTCAAATGACAATGTTTAAGTTGTCTACTTCTTGATACACCAGAAGGTCTTGATTTCGATCTTTGGTGGAGTCGTGCATGAACACTTCTGAAGAGTTTGATATTAGGAGAGAACGGATGTCCGATACTATCCAGTTTTTAAGAGTTATGTAGATGATGACAACTCTTTAAAATAAACATCTGTAATAATATTCTTCATTCTCTTTTTAAACGTTTTGGCTTTTGATCTTGTATTGGATGACATAAAAAACGTAAGACTTTTCCCTTCTCATTTTAGTCATCTAGCTGAACTAAAATTTAGATTAACTTAATACACAGTAAACATCAAAATAGCCATGATTTTCTTGTGTTTTCTTGAGATAAGTCTTACTGTGATACCATAGTTCTCCTTTAATTAAGAAACTTTACCTTATTTTATCAGGCTCCACAACTATGAGTAAATCTAATGACATTTTGAGATTCGACGAGGTGATTTTTGAAGTATTGTTTTTGAGCAATCCGTGTGTTCTGTGTACTTGGTCAAAGCCTTTCACATTAGTGGATCTGCACAATCTGCACAATTACAGTTTTCAATTTCATCAGACCCGATCAATGTTCTGAAAACGTCCTTGGTCAAATACTTATGACCTCCCATTATTTCTGGCTTCCATAGGCTGTTTCATAGCCTTAGACAAATATGGAGTGAGCTATCAGATAGAAATTTTAGGTAGATAAGTAAATGTTTCATTAACTCAGTGAGACTATAATTTATAAACGACATTTGAGCTACGCTTAAGTGACCTTGGAAATGTCCACCTACTTACTAGGGCTAAATGAGGATTATAAATCAGTTTGAAGGATAAGGATTATGATTTACAATTGATGGTGAGAACTAGGAATTACAATTGTGATTTTCATCGCGAACTGACATCAGCAAAAATGCCGAAACGCTATTTAGACATATAGGTGAATGAATATAGCATTAAAATTCTAGACCTGTTATCCTGAATCTGATTGGTTCATCCATAAATTATAGTCTCGCCACGAAACCTTCAGGATAAGCAAAGTAGTCTAGACACTTCTTATATTTAAATAAATATTTTTGCATTGAGAAAAGTGTTTTAACTCTAAATGCCCTCAATATTTGTCTTAAATAATAAATTATTTCAATTAGAATTAAACACAATTACTACACAGTAGTTATGCTTTTAACTTACTTTTTCTTTCTGAATGATTTCTTCGTCGCTCAACATAACAGCTGGTGCTAAACCAGCCCTTCTTTTGTTTTCCGCTTCTTGTTCAATTTTTTCTTGCTCTCTTAAATTCCAACGCATCGAAACAAATTCTTTTCTTTTCACTTCACGTTCAATGTATTCATTGAATTTTTCTAATTCTGATGGTAAAGGAGTTTGTAAACGTCTAGGTACCTATAATCAGTATAATGTTTATATCAATAAAGATATTTAACGAAAATAGTAATCGCTTTATTCAGTAATTCATGTTTAGTACAGCAGGAAATTCTCAGCGTTAAGTATTTTAGTAAGTTTTTTCCTATTATTTATTTACACTGGAGAATATATATGTGTAGTAGTCATATATCTGGAAGAAGTAATAATATTGTGTCTATTTAATGCAGCAAAACTTCCACCTCTAGGCAATCGCACCCTAGTAGCTAAGTATGAACCAGAGCTTGAAGACTAGAAAAAACTGTGAACATGTGAATGTAATGTGTTAAAATATATGAATCAAGAGCGTATTTATGTACGAGGGATTTATTATTATGTAAAGCACTACAGACTGCCTGTTTGAATATCTGGGCTATCTGTGTTATATCCGAGCGAAGATTAACCCACGAGTAACTCCTGAGACATTAATTGACTAATATTACCTGTATAATCTTATGGTGTAATTATTCAGTAATTAGATTATGTATATCCATATTCCTCTTATTATAAGTTTCATTTTGATTTATATATTATTATTGTACGATTTACTGTTCTTAAATTATACTCAGTTTATTAATTACCATCTCCCGCGTTCCCAGCAACTTTTTGGCTTATTTGTGTACACATGTTATTTTCAATTTTATGGTACGTTGTGGTCTGTCTGGTTGATATATAAACCGAGTATGTTTAAAATAAATTATTCGATCCGATTCCATTCGATTTATATTGCAGAAGCTGGTATTGTGTTCTGGACTAAAGCAGACGGGCTAGGAGGACATAGGACCAATAAGGACGCTAGACTGCTCATACTGGTTGAACGTCATTGGTTTGGCATAGTGTTAAGATTGTATAAATCATATTTTGATTGGTGGATAAATCACGTGATAAAAAGCCGGACATAAAACCATAACAATCTGTTCATACCATCAGGATATTTCAACAAGTTATCTGTTTTCTTGTTTGTTTTAACAAATCATTATGCCTATTGGTCGCATCACCTATTCAGAAGCGTTTGTGACAAGTTTGCGACATTTCGCTGTACAAGTTACAAAAGAGCTCGATCAGAGACTTCTTGGCAATATGGGTCGAAAACAATGTACATTATTCAAATGTTGATTGCTGAACTGCTAACATCTAACTGGCGACTAGTCAATATTTATCTCAAGAATCAATCAGGAAATAAGAAAACGAAAGTTGTTGGAATACTTTATGCTGAGATTTTATATTGTACCAAAAATATAATATTGAATAAAGCTACTAATAATAATGATAACAACAATAATAGCTAAAGTTTTAAGTTAGCTTATCTCCTATAACATTTGGTCACATTATATGTTTATTAAATAGCATATTGTAGAGTTTTTATTTCTCCTTTCAAGTATGGAGTGAAGTAAAGGTAAAAGTATAATTTAGAAAAGTTCATTGAACATAATTATCATTTTCAAAATCGAACACTTTACTATGATTCAAAACTGGTGTAACATCCAAAATACTTCTGGAGTGTTTGTTCGTAAATTGAAATGAATCTCTGTGGTCTATTAGTGAATGCTCAACTCTATGTAAATTTATTGACTTTATCCTTATAGTAAACGATTTTATTACTATGTCTATGTTTAATATTACTATCACTGGACACATTCTACCGTATTAGACTTATTTTAAGCTTATCCTCAAATATCTGGTATAGAATTCATAAAAAATAAACTTCCTAATAACGTCTAACATAAAATAACATTCACAAATTTATTGAAAATGAAAAAAAAATTTAGCCACTGTAAATCTTATGACATACCTCAAAGTCATTTTAAGAATAACATAAAAACACAGAATGAAAATATAACAATGACCTATAAAGTATTTGACTATTAGTTCAAGTCATATAAATAGGTAGAAACTTTATAATTTGTATTTTAGTCAATATAATTCAGTGTTTGAAAGACCACTAGACAATAAAATTTAAAATGAAGTGTACTCATTTAGATATTTTTCCAATCCCTAAAAATTTCACTGTTTATTATAATATTCTCTATTCTCTACCAATATCATGTTTACATTTCAGTTCAATTACTTATTTTTTTTAATACAACTTAATAATTTATTAACTCCTTGTAATTTTCTAATCTGCTGACTAGTGACTGACTTCAAGAGATACTCCTCGAGTTCTAGTGAGAAGCCGTTACCAGTTGAGTTCAACCAGGTCTGTCGTGAGATATCAACTCACTGATGGCAATGGTGTAGGGTGGCGCAACTTCGTGGGTTGGATGAAGTTAGAAATTAACACCGTTGGATGCAGGCTCAGGGGTGTAGTTGGTTAAGCGCCTGGCGCAAGACTGATAGGTCCTGGGTCCGAATCTCGCGGGGTGCGGGATCGTGGATGAGCATTGCTAAGGAGTCCCATACTTAAGACGAAACGGCCGTCCAGTGCTTCTTGGTCTCCCGTGGTGGTCTAGCTTCAATTGACTCATGATTTCAACCAGTGAGATTTCTAAGATCTCCACAAAACCCCCTTCTGATAATATGTTTTGATCAAATGGTTAACTATCAAATTACTTAATAGTGTTGCTACTGAAATAACTTATTAGTAGTAATAAAAAGTAATCCATAAATTTATAATTTTGTCGCCATTTACTTTGAATACTCAGATGATATAGTCCTATTTAGTGAAGATGCTAATAAAATGCAGAGCCATGTTGATAGATGCAGACTACTTGGTTGGGGTCCGCGTGACTATCGTAACCAATGGTCAGAGACTCTGGATGACATGGCTCAGAATCGATCACAATGGTGTGGGTGTATACACTCTCCCTACGTTATAGCTGACTGACTGACTGACGACTAAATCTTAATAAGATTGAAACTAATATTGAATGACTTTTAATCTAATCGGGGATATTTTTGTTGCAAAGAATAGAATTTCAAATCATCAAGATTTTATTATGTATTCTATTTTATTAAAGTGGAAAAAACATAGTTTGCTAATTAAATTCAACTCACAATAAATAATTGTAGTACTCCTTGAATATCACCAGTTGCTATAAATTGACGTTTAGGTGAATCCCATATAGATAAAGCAGTTAGTGGATTAGCAGATATTGACTGAATCATTGTTGGTTCATAAGTTTTATCAAGTAAATCCCAAACTTCTATACTACCATCAACACGACATGTATAAAATACTGATGGACGTGTAGGAGACCAACTGCCACCTTGAATAAGATATAATTATGAACAATACAGAGTATCGCTTTAATGATATTGGTAAATTATTGCAATAAAAGTAAACACTTTTTACGTGTCTAACTGAAAAGAAGAAAAGATATGGATAGATTGCACATCATCCAAACCCATTGACAAAGGATAGAAGTATGAACCACTGAACTTTTATTCAGCTCAATCATACTGTTTCTGTGAGCTTGATGTACCAATTAATTCAATGCAGTATTTATATGCTGATGATGTCGTTCAGAACAATGATGATAGCTGCACGACCAAACCATCCAGCTCAGCGAACAAAACACCATGAAAAACGCTTTACAATAGTTGATACAATATTATTCAGATAGCAAACAAAGCGATCCGTCCACTGCATATTCCATAACCCAAACATATCAACCGGGAATATTAAATTAATTAATTTTCCGTCTATTTCCTGTCAGTATTTGGAATTTTTACAATTAGTCACTTTAGATTTATAACGTACTGAATTATTTTGACTAAGCGACAAAATTCTCACTTTGAACTGTTAGGTCAGTTCATTTTGGAATGACATTTAAAATGCTACCATTGTGATGAATTTTGCTAAACTAGATTATCACCAGTATAAAAAGATCGAAACTCATTCATAATTTTTCTGTCGATTATCTACAGGACGAAGAAAATATCATTTATCACAAATAGTTTGGACTGACAATTATGTCCAGACTTTACTTGTTGATCAACACTATTTGACGAAATCAGTGAGTAGAATACGTTAAACGGATAAAACTTTAATAAATTTTGGCAATTCAGAATTAAGGATTTTGTGCATATTTTCTGAATCCCTCTCTGTAGATGATAACAATCTTAAACCAAAAAGCTTGATATTTAGCAAAGAGATCTCTTGAAAGTTGAATATCTTTATAACTGAAAATAGTTTATTTCATTATCTACTTTGCACAAGCCCTACTGCTCTAGACTCTGAAAAAAGAATTACAGTGATTACATTTGATATTATAGGATTGTATTTAAGAGACTGTGTAACATAGGATTTTAGCAACACAGGACGACACTCAGTGATCGTTGTGGTTGCTATTGGTGACAGTGGCAGTAAAAGATGAGGCAATTTCTTCTACATATCAACGAACAAAATGCTGTTGTAATGATAACCTTAATTAAACACTAGATACACTAACCTGTTAATGGTTTATTTGCACGACCAGATTATATGATCGGCCCACTGGTAACTCCTTCCTTCCACATTGTCCATATCCATCCACCAATAGCCAAGACTAGGGAGGAATCAAACGGTGAACGACAAAGGTAACTAATTGGACCATCATGTCGTGAGGAACAAAATTCTGGTTTGGGTGTTTGCATTTTCCCAGTGTCTTGATCTTTATGTGGTATCCAGTCAACATAAACTATAACACCATCTTCAGTCCCGGCATAAATATGTGAGTCGGCGTTTGGAAGTGGAAGTAATTTAGATGAGTTGTCAGTTATATTGATACTGGAATCTTTTGGGTTAGACGTTAGCAATCTGCGATCTCCCTGCATTTCCTTCAAACACGAACTTAACACATTAGGTCCTTAAAAATTTCTATCAAAATGGATATTATTCGTGAAATAAATGAAATCAATTCTAGAGCTAGAATGTTCTAATGGATAATGTAAACTGACATAAAACAATAAAGAAGGGGATGAAGAACATAAAGTATTTAAATATTGATAAACACATACATTTAAACGATACGTACAAGTCTATAGATAAGTTTAATACTGAAAAATAGAAATGTTTATTATCAGCACAACGAGACGAAATTATTGGGATGAATATTTGAGTAGTAAACGTATTATCAGTATCAGAAATGGCAAAAGATAGATTAAACTTCAAAGATATGGTTCAAAAAAGAATTTATTCTCAGAATAAGATATAAAATATTTTCCCATATCACGACCTAAGGAGGGACAAAGGTTGAATGCATCTGTGCTGTTGCGACCTGTTACGAACCATATCAAACAACGTCTCTAGCCATTGATCACCTTAATCAAGAGAACTACATCTTGGTAATTATTGGAGATATGTATAACTTAAGGAAAACTATACAAAAATAATAAAGTAAAATAATAAAATGCAACCTACACGTATACAAAACTTAATTGGTACATGGCCATTAACTGGATCGTTGGTATATAAATGTATTCTTAATAATGGATTCCATTTCAAATCCAGTGTCGAAAATGATAGTGGTACATTATTTAGTGGTTTAATTGAATCACTTGTTTTGTTTATAGTTAATGGTGTTTTCTCTGGTCGTATATCCCATAGTAATATTTCACCATTTAAACCGCATGTCATTAATTGAACACATTTCTGTGCATGATTTTCAAAACAGTATCCTAACCGATTAATTTCTATATGATCCGGTATCCATTTCAAATCCATGATTGGTGAACTATGTGATGATTCATATTACTTAAAGCAGAATAATGTGATGTTGATACTTTATTTAATTCATTCTCATCAAAAACAAATAAAGGCATTTGATTATTTTGTTTCAATCGCAACTTAACATTAGTTAAATCGTCAATATGTTTTTCAATATCCCACAGAACTACTTGTCCATTGATACAACCACCAGCTATATAATTCGGACTAGTTGGATTAAATTGAAAACACATAATATCATCTGGTGCATGTAATAATAATTGAGGCTTTAATGGATCATTAAAACTCCATAATATACTATGTGTTGGTTGTAAAAGAATTCGTGATGCTTGATCAATACGTTGATCATAAATTATCCGTTCACTAATAGATGTTGCAATAATACCTTTAATATTTGGATGCCATTGAATCATTGTACTAGCTTTATTTTTACTAAATTTTAAATCAGTAAATGATAGAAATTCTTTGAATGTATTGTCACTTCTTGTATCATAAGTTTCATCACCAATGGGTAAATTCTCATAATCATTTGATAAAAAATTGTACATTTCATTTTCTAATAAACTTTGTTCAAATACTGTGTATAATTTCGATATATTACGTAAAGCATCATTATTTTCATGATAATAATGTTTCAATTCATCAGATGTAAACATTCTAGGAACATAATGAGTGAAAGCATTTTTTGGATATTTCCAATTTGTATTAATACCTTTATCACATGTGGTTTCACAATTTGTGGCTGATTTATCTAACTCCATTATAGGTATATTAAATGATTCATCTTCACGTGATAAAATATGTTCAGAACAACCTTTCTTTGTCGCACTTTCATCTTGTAAATGTAATACACTACCAAATTCTTTACGTGGTCTTTGAAAAATTGTATACACTTTTGAACGTGTTTCAAAAGTATTCATTTCGGCAATTTCGTTTTCTGAACCTAATTCAATCAACCCATGTTTGATATCGATTTGAATAGAAAACATAAATCACTGGCCTCTTTGTATTCTTCTATCTTGTCCTCATCATCGTTTCTTCCATCATTCTCATCCACATCACCATCATGTTCTGACTGACCGTCAACTGCTTGTTTAACTGGATTCAGTATAAGAGATTTTGTCTCTTCAGATAAGACAATGACAAAATTTTCACCAAATTTTTAATCTGCATCGTAAATTAACAAAATATCAGAACCGGGATACTTTTTTATTGCAACTTTTTGTACACTGAAATCTGATACAGCTGCACGTAACTGTAAATCTTTAAGTATATCAGATTTGTTCAATAAAATGATTGGTGATTCTTTGGTAATTTGTTCATCAGTTACAATATTAAATATCTGTTGTGTTGATTTTGATAAAAATATCGGTGTGCAATTAGGCATTAGTTCATTTTGAATGAATATAACTAATGGTTTGTGACTTTCTATGAATGATGACAATGATGACCCATCCACTGCATCAGAATGATTGCTGCCACTTTTTTCCGCTGATTTTCCAAGTGACGATTCTGATTTACGTCCGCTTCGACTTTTAGAACGACCTCTAGCACTCTAATTGAACAGGTTTTCAGTCATGTTACAATTAATAAAAAATAAATAAGTAACTAACCTTATTACGCAAAGTATTTTCAACTGGATTTACTTTTTCGTTTGAGTTTTTCATGATTTATAGTTTATTTCAAGTTCTAAGTTTTAAAAGAAATGAATACTCCAGATGTTTTGATAGTATGGGCATATCAAACAGAAATAAAGTATAATTTGACAAATAAAATCCAAATCGATAAGTAATAGAACAGTTTGTTAAATGTACATACTAATTCTGTTTTATATAACAGCCATTTGCAATCAAAAAGAGTTAAACAGCCCTATTTTATTTTGAGCACTCTAGGAATTAATTTTGCCTACATAAAATTCCATCTCATAATCACTCTTATCTTTTAGACAGTATATGTTACTGGGTGCTCTGAAAAAACAAATAACTCTGGGGTTACAGAAAATCTTAACTACTACATGATAGAAGATACGTGATCTACTTTAGGGAAAAATTTCCAAATTTTCGCAAGTATTCGTGATCAGACACGGTTCATTCTACTAGTATCAGTGTACAGCCAACACAAAACCCTACATTGACAAATAATGAGAAGGTATCGATAACTCCTGTGACTTAAAGAGCACAGATTGAATGTAATCCAGTAAAAAATCTGAATGTTTACTCCAAAAGTAACAAAAATACCTCGTAAATATGGTTCAACTATGATTCTTCAACTTCCTTAGATATTAAAAGTCAAAAAATGCAACAACCTCATATGATTTCTAAAATCAAGCAAACAAAGCACATAACATATCCTTCATTAGTCATCTCCTCTAAGTAGACTATGGCATTGTTATTCCTTTAGTAGCACATACCAAAACGCTTAAAGATACAGTAGACTTAGAAGTCAAGTAGCGGTGTTCATGCTATTACCAATTTGACCTCATAAACGTTCTGTACCTCTTAACTCTTCTAGTTACTTGCCTATACTGAGATAAAAAGCTTAAAAATTTCCAGTCGTTCT